TGGACGAAGCAGAGTCCAGCCCGGGGTCGTCACATGTGGTTTCCGCAAGCCTGCCGGACACTCCTTTGTCGAATCCGCCAGCCGCACCGTTCTCAAAGCCCTCCGCTGTGTGTTTCGTTGTGAAAGCGAAACTACTTTGTTTGGCCTTCCAAAAGAGGACACGACTAGAAATCAGTGGTTAAGTTGTATTTACAACACTGTTCCAGAACAGTTCAAGATGTGTTCAGATGTGTGCAGCACATTTTATGGAGGACTGTTTCCTGATCCTGGGAGAGTAGACTACAATGCCGGCTGTTCTGACTCACAGACTGTAAGTACGTATTTTATATTTAAAGAATTTGCCACTGATGATTCAAACGCGAGTTTTGAGCAGTGTAGAGTAGCACTTGTTGTTTGTCATTTTTCCGATCACAAATGCAGACATGGTTTTATGTTTATGTGGCGCGATGCAACGCATAAAACAACAGTATAAGTCATTATAATCCGCAATTATGTCCCCACTGGATGCAACAAATGCCTCGTTAATAATGGGTTTTAATGTTTTTGTCTCATCGCTCCGGCTGGGACATGGCATCACAGTATGGTGAGGGGCGTAACATTTCCGTCACACACTTGAGGTATTCGACCAATCACAATGCACTGGATAGCTGACCAATCACAGCACACCTCGCTTTTCAGACCGATGAGCTTTGTAAAAATCGACGCGTTTCAGAAAGGCGGGGCATAGAGGAGAAACAATAATGTACAGTATGTGGAAAATAATGTGTTTTTTGAACCTTAAACCACATTAACACATTTCATTACACCAAATACACAACATAATGTTCTTTTTAGCAACATCATATGGCCCCTTTAAGAACCGCTGCTTTAGAACATTGATTTAGAAACTTGTGAATCCATTAGAATCATTAGAAGACAGAATCTCGCGATTCATATATGAATAGATTTTTATGTGCACCTCTAGTTTTCTCTTCCTCTTCTCTAAAGCAGCATAGCATGGCCTCGTCCCCTTTGCTGCCTTTTCCAGGGGGCGGGGTTTATCTGGGTTTGTTACGTCACAAACCCGGGAAGTAACTTGTTGTAGTTCCTACCAGCCGTTTTTGTAGGAATTAAACTGCCAGAATTTTGAAAGACGATATCTCCATTTGCATTGAACTTTCAGCCTCGTAACTTTGCAGATATTGTTTATGTTCAAACAGCAACATTACACAGTAACTAACGTTAAAAAAGTGAAATCGCAATCAACCACCCCTTTAAAGGAACTTTCAGAATGTCATAGTTTAATTAGTGACCTAAAAATTTAGAAAAGTTAGCTAAACAAATGTGTGCACATTTTTTTTTTTTTTTCTTCTCAGACTTTTGGATCCAACTGTACAATTTTCTGCAGTGCATTTTTAATGTTGTTTTTGTGTTTTAACCTGAAAGAGCCATAAGAATGGTCATACATACCGTGTCCAGGTGTGTGCGCTGGTGTTTGGCTCGATCACTGGAGTTGCTGAAGGCCTTGAGACAGCCGGGATGCTGGCAAATGTAGGGCTTCTCTCCAGTGTGGCTGCGTAGGTGGATCTTCAGGTTCTCCAGACGGGAAAATGCCTTATTGCAGCCTTCAAACTTTAAGACAACACCCAAGCACATGTGCATATGAGGGAAAAAGTCTTACAAAAATCTCCAGGTTTTTCATTGTATTTGCATGTACATATACATGCAAATTACGACTTATGCTTTAGTGCTAGAGAGTGCCGCATGCTTTGCATGTAAGCAGCGATTAATATATGGAATTGCAATTGATTAGAAGAAGATACTAAACACAAGGCAGAAGGTTTTGGTGAAACTACTTTTTTTACTTACTGCCATTCAATCTCCTCAAAAAACAAAAAGACACGTCTTGTCTGATACCAAGTTATGCTTGATATAAAAGTAAGAAAGTGGTGGCATATGTTTTCCAAGGGTATTATTTAAAGCTCAAAATGATACCAGTTTTGGAACAGGAAATGTTTTGCCACAGAGACAGTTATGTAACATTTGCAAAGGTGTAAAAAAAAAACTAAACTGAATTTTCTTGAAATGAACAATAGTTCATCCAAAAATGAAAATCCTGCCATCAATTACTCACCCTCATGTTGTTACAAACCCATTTGATTTTCATTCTTCCATAGAGAACAAAAGGAGAACCTCTGAAGAATGTTCAAGCTGCTTCATACATACTATACAATAAGTGAATGGTGACCAGGAGGTGTCAAGCTCCAAAGTGAAAAAGCACCATAACAGCATCATAAACAAAGTCCATGCAACTTATATTAATCTGGCTATATTTCAAGTTTCTTCTAAAACGATGAACACTTATTAACACGTTATTCATTCAAAATCTTGCATGACAGCTGAGCAGTGGTCACCTTTCACTTTCATTGGATGGAAAAGGGCAGATTGTATGTTCAGTTATCAATAATTCCTTTAGTGTTCCCCAGACGAAAGAAAGTCATACAGGGTTTGAAATACATAATGGTGAATAACTGCCTTAAGCTGAAAATTATGTTGAGAAATTAGATATTAAGCCACATAAAACTGTTATGCTCCTATAATAAATTAAATGCTATTCATGTTGTCAGTTCATGCACATTTATGAGGCTTGTTCTGAAGATCCGCACACAAACACACATGCCTCTCTACGAAGTTTATTAAACAGACATGTTCAAAGCTGGTTCCTGTTAGAACAAGGCTCTGCTAAGATGTTTGAGTTGGAGAGAGGCCAGCGAAGGAGTCAGTAATAAGCCCAGCTGATTCAAGGTGGCAGCCGCAGTCATGCAGACTTTTGGTTGGAGCAATTCTGCAAAATTATAAAACAAATTTTGGCGGTCACAGGGGTGATGTCATGATGAGGTTATATGAAAAATGAATCGGGTTTCATTGAGCATCTTTACATTTATGCATTTACAACTATACAATTTTAATTAACTACTAAGCTGACGTTTTGATTTTTTATTCATTTAACAGACACATTTATCCAAATCAAATATACCTTCGGTGAAGTACACTTACATACATTTATGAATGTGAATAATAATAATAATAAAAAAACATCTCAGTCTGTTAAAGCAGACAATTTCTGAATACTGTATAATAAATCTCAGATTTAAAATGTTTAAAATTGATAACAATATTAAAAAGAACATTAATGGATCTAATCTTATAACAAAATCTCTATGTATTTGTAAAATAATAATAAAAAAGTATATTAATACCCATGCTGTTGACATTAAAAATATACACTAAAAATCACAATGTTACAAATTATAATCCAACTACATTTAATTGTAAAAAAATATATATATTCAGGATAAAATGCTTCCCAAATGATAGTCCTCTGGCCACCACAGATTAAAAAGAAAAAGAAAAATAATAACATGAAATAGATGAAATAATATCCCATGGCTATCTTACATCATTAAAAAGAACCACATTTCCTATGTGGCTCATGGTGAAGGAAATGAAACACAGCTTTATCAAAGTATTAAATTATTATAGTTTTAGGACATTGTTATCACTGCCTACAATAATATCTTTGAGCATGTAATGGATATAACTTCTTACAGTTACTGTATTCCGTCTATTATATTCTATGTATTATGTATCTTTGCAAATCTCAAAAATAAGAGATGAAACTTAAGTTCTGATTATAATAATTCAATATCAGGTAACAGAATGAGAGACATTTTGCTGTTCCCTTAAACTGCATGAGGGGTCTTGCTAAAAAAATAAAAAATCAGGCAATGAATATTAAAAAAACTTAGTCTAAAACTCCTTCTTCAAAGTTGTCCTGGAAGGAGTTGACTAAATTGATTATTGCATAATATCAGTCTCCAGGCAACTCTTATGAAGGCAATTTGTAAGTGAATTATAAACAACTCTAAAATGTCGAAATCTCTAAAATCTGCAATCCATCCATCTTTGGAGGTGAAGAGAGATTGAGTTCACATGTCAGTCTCTCTCTATTACAAACTCTTACTTCAAAGAATTGGCATGGTTTGAAATAAAAAATTTAATTTTTACTGATTGATACAAATTATAATTATTAAAAAAACAACACCTGTGTTCAGTGTCTGGCACAATATTGTGATAAACACTACGAAAAAAGTTAGGTGTTTTGAAATAAGTCTCATGCACACCAAGGCTTTTCATTTCAAATAAAGTATTCTATTTTAATATATTTTATTTAATGTAATTTATTCCTGTGATGGCAAAGCTGCATTTTCAGCAGCCATTACTCCAGTGATCAGTGTCACATGATCCTTCAGAAATCATTCTAATATGCTGATTTATAATATTTTAATATTATATTGGCACACCAGAAAATGTTCTTTGTCCAGCCCAGGAGGCCAATCTAAATATTATATGATTTTATATTAATTTTATATGACATGCAAGATATAAGAGATCATAAGAGTAGCAGACTTATCCAGCAGTTGGGACATGTCTGAATATTGTTTAAAACACAGACTATTGTGATCTAGTCATGTTTGTGCAACAAACATAAACATGAAAAAAAGAGCAATAAACTAAATATACATGCAATTATCATTAACAGCCTTGTAAGCAAGAATGTTCCTGATTTAAAATCTTCAGTGGCTATCTAGTTTGAGACAAAATGTTAGGTCGTTGTTACTGATAAATTCAGATTTTGCATTAAAGAAAAATATTTGTTTGATTATTTTTTCTTGCAACAACTTTGGTAACAGTGTTGAATGTTTCAGACTGACAAATGCAGTCAGCACATTGTGTAAAAACTGAGAAAATAGAACTATTATTTACTTGTCTTCCTGACATGTAGGTCAAATGATGTCACTTCCTGGGTGTCACAAGTTTGTGGAATTTTGAGACCTTTTCTGTTGTATGTCCTGTTGTTATTGTCTTTGTATGTATAAAAATAAAAACTGAACTCACCATGCATTTGTTGGGCTTTTCACCAGAATGGACTCTCATATGAATGAGCAGTTTGTATCGAGCATTGAAGGGCTTGTGCCGACGGACACATCCTGCCCAGAAGCAGGTAAATTCCTCGCCTTTTCGCTGATCTATATGAACCTTCTCTATGTGTCTCACCAGTTCTTCTTTCAACCCATAGGTAGCCCTACAATCCATCCATTTGCATGGCTGTTCTTCACTCAGGTGTTCATTCATTCGCTCAGCTCCAGGAAGCCCACTCAGTCCCAAATCATTCTTCAACTGCTGCAGTGTAGGAAGCTTTTCTGATACTTCTGTCTGAGTATTGTGAAGGTTAATGTGCTGGGTTTGATCCTTGGTGGCATCTGAGTCAGTGCAGAGATACTGAAGGAGTTCTTCCTTGTGTAGAAGCTTCTTGTAACAAAGATGAAATTCAGCAACAGGCTCTTGCTTTGGAGACTTGGGATACAAACATCCCTCTGGAGGTTTCTCCTGCGGCTCTGGTGTGCAATTGTAGAGAAGATCCTGGGTCTCAGGTGGACCGCAGAGAGTTGAAAGAGATGGAGAAGTCAAACATAGGTCTGATATCGAGCCAGATGAGTGGCTAGAGGAAGGGGAAGAGAAGGATGGAGAGAAGGCACTGAAAGATGATGTGGACAGGGTAGAGCAAAATAAGGAAGGGGACAATGTGTCGTTATGTACAACCGAGAGAGTGCAGGATGTGTCACTCTTTACGCTGCTGATGGCTCTTTCTGTGGAACAGACCAAGTCGAGCTCATCTGTTGTTATCGACACAGGCGACTCATACAAGCTACACATCTTCAGACCTTCCATGTGAACCGCTTGGTTTAAAGAGGACAGGTACTTTTCATCATTGTTAACAAGGCCACACTGGTCCAGCTGTGCAACCGCTGGACTGAGACCAGCAGGTCTCATGACATTCTTCCAGTTACTTTCCCTCTGAATGTGGATCATCAAATGGACACTGTAGAAATTATTCAGGGGTCGCAAATGTTTTTCAAGTAGTGACACACCTGTGATGATTAACAAGGTACCTGGAAAGAACATCAGAAAAACAGATTAATTTCAAAATTCAAATCAGAGATATCAGATCAAGTGTGTTCACAGAAGACCTCAAGAAGAGCTGGAGGTGCATGTTGATGCTGAATGCAGGTTGACTGACAAGCTGGTGTTTTGTTTTTGAATGCAAAGAATGCAAAGCTCTGTTCAGTCCTTTCACCCATCACTGTTTACTACAAAGGGAAAAGTTATAGGGTAATAATTATCATCAATATAATAATAACAACAAAAAGACCTAGAAAAAAACATACTCATACACTACTATTCAGAAGTTTGGGGTTATTAGAAAATTAGTGCTTTTATTAATCAAAGATGCATTAAATTGATCAAAAGCAATGGTAAAAGATGATTATAATTTTACAACAGATTTCAAATAAATGCTGTTTTGAACTTTCTATTCATTACAGAATCCTGAATAAAATGTATATGAAGTTTCCACAAAAATATTAAGCAGCACAACTATTTTCAACATTGATAGTGAGCAGCAACTCAGCACATTAGAATGATTTCTGAAGGATCATGTGACACTGAAGACTGGAGTAATGACTTTGCCATGACAGACATTTTAAAATATTTAAAAATAGAAAATAGTCATTTTAAACAGTAATACAATTTCACTGCATATACTGTTTTTACAAATAAATGCAGTCTTGAAGAGTAGAAAGGGATTTCTTTGAAAATTGTTCTCAAACCCAAAACTTCTGAACTTGTCTGGCACTTTTTTTTTTTTGGTGGCAATACGTCAGATTACTGCCATGTAAGCCATACAGAAAATGTTTTCTGTAAATGGAAGCAGATTTAGTAATAGGTCACAGTAGTTTCCACATACATAATAAGTGGTGAGAAATCTAATTTGCTAATCATATGACTACACACAAAAGAGATACACAAAAAAAAAAGATTATGCATATTTCCAATTAACAGATTTGAGTCATGCTAATATTGTACTACTTGTTCATCAAAAGCTGGATTATGCTGCATTCACAATGACAGTGATTAAATTGGTGGAGTCTCAAGATGTTTGTTTCCAGTAGGTGATCCTGCCTGGTCTCAAATAGAAAAACAGAAAATAAACCATTTGTCACTGTGAATCTCAGTCAGCGTGAACTTCCCTTTAAACCACAGTCTTAACTGTACAAGAATGCCTGTGTTACTGCAGCTCCACTTCTTAACGGACCATACCACCTAACCACACTCCTCAGGGGTGACATCCATAGCCGCTGAAAGCTTGCAGACCGCCGAGGTCAGAATCACTGCAATAGTAGCAAATATGCTTCAATAAAAACTCTGTCAGTCCTCTCATGAATTGTACTTGATTATGGTGTGTGTTTTTCTTCTCTTTGAGGGTGCAGGTAGCAATGTTCAGACCAAGTAAAGATGAACAGTGAGACATTTGTGCCCTGACAGATTGCTTGGAACCTCTGGCAGTAGAGGATGCAGAGATCTGGTACCAAAAGCAGAGATTCTAATGTACTACATCCCTCAGCTAATGAGAAGCAGGCCTGGAACAGTGGGCAAGAGTCTTCAAGAGGTCTCTCCTGTCCAACACTCACACTACTGTGGTGAATTCAAGCACGCTTTAGCACTCCGCACACATTCGCTCAAGTGATCCAGTGATGTGCTGCCATGATTGAGCTGGCCAGTTAAAATGAGTCCTCAGGGGCGCTGCTGCTTTGAATGCACCCATTAAAAGGGCTTAATATGTCAAATCCTTTTCCCACATTGTATTTATACCATTGTAAATGAAGATTGTAAGTTTAAAATCACAGAACATAAAGTGTAGCACTTCTGCTCTTGCAAAAAGTTTTGTGTGTTTGTGGCAGTTTAGGTTTATGCCTCCTTACAGTAAATGTGTTATTTAAATAGAAACATATGGGTCACAGTGGTTTTCTCTCACAGAATAAGTGGCGAGGAACCTTATTAGCAAATTATAATGACTAAATGTCTGACAAAATATCAAAAATATAATATATATTACTCTGAAAACCATAATTCAGAATCCTATTTTATGTCTAATTAAACACACAGACATTAAACGTTGATGACATCTATTTAACAAATGCATTTGTTTACCCACAGAAAAAAAATAAATAAATAAGAAGAAATCTCCAAATAATCATGGGAAAATCATGGCATGACTAATGGACTGATTCAGTGTAATTGGCCTAATATGATTCTCGGACTACGCAGAATATTGACCTTTTGCACTCAATTAACCTTTTTATCAGACTGTTGTCTCAAGTAGTGGTTCACTAATGTGTTGTTGTCCTTCATGTTTTCACCCATAAAGAACTTAAAGGAACACGCCACTATTTTTGAAAATAGGCTCATTTTCCAACTCCCCTAGAGTTAAACACTTGAGTTTTACCGTTTTTTTTTTTACCGATTAGACCGTTAGCATCTCGCTCAAAAATGACCAAAGAGTTTTGATATTTTTCCTATTACCTAGCTGGGGACTATTTTCAGGCGCTGCGTAATATCATTGCGTCTGCTGCACCCATGGTACGGCAGCAAAGTTTCTTGATTATTATGCCGGAATGAGAGCATAGTTCCTAGCTATATCAGCCGAGAAAATCGCAACTTTTCATTTTCCGTCGGTCTAAGTACACGATGTAACTACAGAAGAGTCAAGTTTTAAATAGGAAAAATATCGAAACTCTTTGGTCATTTTTGAGCGAGATGCTAACGGTCTAATCAGATTCAATGATCTATGCTAAGCTACAGCTAAAAGTGCTACCGCCAGACCCGGAGATCGGCTGAATGGATTCGAAAACGGTAAAACTCAACTGTTTAACTCTAGGGGAGTTGGAAAATAAGCCTATTTTCAAAAATAGTGGCGTGTTCCTTTAATGGAGAAACTCTTGAAGCTATTCAATAATGTTCAGACTTTACCAGAGGTCTTTAAAAGACCCTCCACTTGAAATCTGGGTATATTAAACATCTCAGCTGAATTCAGTTTTAGACAAGATGAAAATGTACACCTTTAAGCTGTATTTTTGTATCACTATATAATATTTTGTCATCAGGAACACGACTTTTGTGGGAAGTCGAGTCTCGTGCCGGCAGGGATTGTGGGTGGAGGGAGTGAATGTACAGCGCCCTCTCCCACCTTCAATACCATGACTGAGGTGCCCTTGAGCAAGGCACCGAACCCCCAACTGCTCCCCGGGCGCCGCGGCAAAAATGGCTGCCCACTGCTCTGGGTGTGTGTTCACGGTGTGTGTGTGCGCACTTTGGATGGGTTAAATGCAGAGCACTAATTCCAAGTATAGGTCACCATTTTCAGAGCACTGTCTTCATTTTCAGAGCACTTCTATTCTAGAACAAACATTATACGTTATAAAATGTGCCGTGGCGCGACATTATTAAGATTCATTAAACAAATTAAAATTATGTTTTCATATGCTTTTTTTATTATCATGCTGTGTAATTTTGTTGGCCAAACTTGTGGCTGGCATGCTTATTGTCTCCAGAACGGGTATGAAAAGGTGACAAACAAATCTGCGTTGTAATTACTCTGATTTATTAGTTCGCTGCAGGTTTAGAAAGTATCATGTCACTTTCAACAACAAGCCAGACATCTTTGAAGTGCACTCAAAGACCCGATTCAAGCTAAACTAGCAGGACTATCCAGCTTTCTTTACTAAACATAAAATAATGAATGATGAGGGCAATTATCAACTGCCGCATTAACATTTAGTCATTTAGTAGATGCTTTTATTCAAAGAGACTTAAAAATGAGGAACAAGCAGTACTAGTTTATCATACATGAGCCAATAACACACTCAAGTTGAATAGTACTTAAAATATAGAAGCTTGAGCAGAACCATTTTGAAAAGTAAAAGAAATCATTCAATAATAAGAGGAGTGCAGGAGTTCACTATCAGCAGCTACTGATCTAGTACCACAGAAAAACAATACAAGATACTATATGGACAAACAATTGTACTCCATCTTCATACACATCCACCTGAAGAGGCAGCATCAGCATTTTTCAATGCTTTTTTCAAAGCATCAATTTACTCTGGCTATGTGAAATCAAAGAACTATTAATCTAATTAAAGTAGGGACGTCCAGAAATATATTTCTGGTCTTCTAATTCAGTATTATGTTTTGTATTGTATGAAAGAAACTAGTGAAACTGAAAAGGAAATCCCTATTTTATTACATGACAATGTATTAAACATGCAAGTATTCATTGTGAAAATTTCAATGACTATGTGTTTAAAATGCTGTAACGAAATCCAGACAGTTACTTTATTCAATATGAAATATCACTTTCTCATCCAAACCCATGGAATCAGTCATGATAGCCTTACAAAGCATTACTCGCATCAAATAACATCCATAAATATCCATCCATAAACCTGGACGTACAGATTTTTTTTAAAGCATACATAAAGGTATAGGCAGTGAATTGTTCATATTAATGTGTAAATATTTGTAATAAATAAATAAAAATATATTAATATTAAATATTAAAAGGTAAAAAATAAAAAGTTATTTTAAATTGTAATCATATCAAATAAACACCCCCAAACCATTAAACTAGGTTAATAAGTACTGCAATTTTCATTATTAGTTCATTATTCCTAATATATTAATTAATGTTTATGAATTGAACCTTACTGTGAAGTGTAACCAAATTTTCTACAAAACTTTCCTATTTAAATAAAAAGCAATTGATCAGTATACTGAGAAATCAACTACAGATCCATACCTTGTATAACTTCATAAAGACACACAGTATAAATGTATACCTGTATAACTGCCATAGTGGTATATGGGAGCTCCACAGTGGTCCACTGGCCATATTGTGGCACCAGTACACTTTTTTTTGTATAGTGATGGAAGTGTTTGTATACGTGGACTACTGTCTCACTGGGAACATAAATGACCAATATAAAAGGATCCTGGCGTCTCACATTACCGACTGTTATTACAGCAGTGACAGAAGGAAGCATCACTGAAGAACTAAGGCCGACCACACTGCCACCCCGTCAGTCCAAACATTTACAAGCAAGTGCAAATCTGTGAGAAAACTTGAAGCCAGGAAATTCCACTGAAATGACAGTGGTTGAATCCTAACCACCAGCCATGGACAGAGCTTCTCTACTGAATACGGCGGGTGGACGGACAGTACGTGCAGCCAGTACTTACACACTCCACACTTCTGCCAAACGGCCTGGCGTTTAAGGAGACGAGACCTCTTTAAATTGCACACGGTTAATTGGTTGTGACTTGTCTTCCATATTTCAATAAATCTATTCTGGTTCTGGTCAAGTAAATGCCTATGATCACGGATTTACAAAATGATGTTTAAATGAAGAGCAACTTGAGATCTGGTGAAAACTGATTTGATGTAATGCAATACTCTGGGTGAAATACAAGTTAGGCTCAACCAATTTGCATTTGAGGTATAATGTTGATTAAAACAAAAATAATTTTTGGACTCGTTCCTCAGAAAAAAAAACGAAACTGAGACCTGAACTTTTTCTTCCCTGTTGTGATTTATATTCAAGTGAAAATAAAATTTATAAAATGTGAAATAAATAAATAAAATGTAGGGAGGGACTTGATTTGGTGTATCGGGAATTGATTGGATCTTATTGCTTGCTAACTGCTGTGATAATTAAATCTAACAAATTGGACAATCTTATTTCCCAGCCCACGAGCCAGCACACACGTCAACAGAGAAGAGATGTTATAGCCAGGAGGAGGGCATGCTAATGTTTTTTTGATTAAAGATTATGGGCATACATCTTCAAAAATAAATAAATATTGATGTGCACAAATAAATCACTCTTAATAAACACTGTAGCATTCCATAAAAATATGAACGGCTCATTTTTATTTCATGGCAAGTTAAAAAATAACTCAAGGTCATGGTGAGGCACTAAAAATTCAAGAGCTTTGTAAAGAAATATCCAGTTAAACTTAGGGTTAAGAAATGGTGTAAAAATATGGTGACAAAGTCTCAGGTATTATGGGATGGCATATTTGTGTCTGCATTACTTTACTTTACAACCATATAATTAATTAAATTAAATAAATATACCAATTTACTTCAACTATCATTTGGCATAACGTTACATTATTTTACAGTAAAATGTAATATAATGTGATGTTCAATTAAACTCAGTTAACAGGTTTTTACACTAACAATTTTAGCCTCATCTAAAAAGAAATTACAAACTTTATTTCACAGTGTGAATGGGGAACAATTTTTAAAGGCCCTCGGCCATATTAAAAAAAGAAAACTGCCCTCCTGTATTTCCAATCAGGTTTCCAAAGCTAAGCTCCTTTAACTTTGCTTACTCTAAAAACATCTTTAAAATGTAAATGGATGCTTCCTCAGAGGTGTGGAGGAAGAAATGCTCATAAAAGACATCTCTAGATATAGTTTAACCTATAAAGCACACCACACAAATAAAACTGAGTACAGAGATTAAGTGTTTTTTGGACTTGCAGTGAAAATATCTGATGATTCCCCACAGTGTTCTTGTTGGTCTCAGATAAAAAAAAAAAAAAAGTTTATGGAATCTCAGCTTTTAGGCATGAAGGCCCAATACGTGAGGTCTGTTATTTTAAAACGGTTAAAGTCAGAGTCAACTGGAACCTTAAAGTTCTATTTTACTGTCCCTGTCAACACGATCATCATCACATTCAATAATCTTTAAAAGCAGACCTAAACCACAGCAATATAATAGAGTGGTATAATGTTTTCAATACATTTACATGGACATGAAAATGGATTTGACAGTCACTGAAGCGTTTGTTTAGGAACTTTTGGAGTAATAAATGGCCAATAAAAATAACTTGTCACTGTAGTGATTTACAGCACTGCAACAATGCTGGCAGCATATACTGGAGCAGCCCAAAATCATCACAGAGAACCGAGAGACACCTGTGAATGGATGTATGAACAATGAGTACAGCAGTTCGCCTAACAATAAGGATTGTTAAGAGCCAGTAGATCATTAGTCCTGCACTTTATAAGTCACAAGATTTAGATGGTGCATATTGCTGGATGTCTCAACTTGTTACAGGAGAATATATATACACACACACACACACACACACACACACACAGATATTAAGATAGCACACCTGTACATACAATTTATTCATTTTTTGTGGTTTATATTTATGCATGTGTATTTTATTCACATCTCACTTTTATTATCTGTGTGTTGTTGTTGTCTCAGTGTACTGGAAGTTTGTGACACTATAACAAATTCCTTGTATGTGCAAACATACTTGGCAATAAAGCTCTTTCTTTCTTCTTTCTGAGATACACAATCAGTTAATTCCCTGGATATCAAACCCCTGACCTTGGCATTGCTAGTGCCACTGTTTGAGTTACAGGAATGTTCCTCTACAAAGTCATGATTATGTAGAAGCAAAAACAAAACAAATGTAAAAAAATCACTTTCTTCATGTCATGAACAATTAAACCAACCCATGAACAAAACTGTTAATATTCACTCGGAATACTAAATCAAACCCTAACTTCTTTTAAATGGTGTTTAAAACTAAACAAAAAAAAAACCAAAGGCCAAAAGTATCATATCAACCTACATTTAGTTCAGCTTCAACTATGTATTTTTAAATACCACAAACATACAGGCTGGAAAACAAACCAATCCATTCACAAATATGATGACATTAGAGCTTTTTAAAACTTCAGATTTTTCCAGTTCCTGGTAAATGTAAAACATTTAGCTTCCATTCATGCCTAATAGCTTTAGTACACCCCAAAGCAAAACACAAGTAATGAAATGCTCCTCTGCTTGATATAACACAGTTACAATGTGAAACTATGAATTGGCTTTCATTGTAAACTGACCTATTTATTCTTCAATGGCATTTATGACCAACTCGGATATTGTTAAACACAAACTTAACTGCTGACCGCATTATAAACATCAATAGTGCATGAAAAACAAATTCTCTTTCATTCTTAAAAACACGTAAAAAGTAATTTCTTAAAATGCCCTTATGTGCAGAGAAATGCATGAATCATTTCTATTATTAAAAATGTTAACCAGTTGAGGGTTTTATCCTATTTACAGATGTTTTAAGCAAATCGAATGTTGTAATGCAGTTATCATTACAAAACCCTTAATGATGACTTTACCAAATAAGGAAAAATATTAAAGTCATCATAAAAAATGCAATGTATTACAGAAGAAGTAAATAGGCTAGAATGTTTTGGTCAGTCAAACCTTGAGAAATAATGCCCCTACAGAGACAGAAAAGCATTAAACCTAAACCATTTCATCATGTATTAACATCTCAACCAAAACTAAATATCCAAGGGCAGCGGATGAAGATTGCAGCAGTTTTTTCACTATGTACACAGGTTTCTCTGAACTGCCTTGTTAAATTCAAAACAGTAACAGGCTTCAACTGGATATCAAAATATGTTCACCATAACCTTATCTTTTATTCTCCCCATAGACAACTGCAGAAAATGTCTTTGTCTTCTATGATTGACCATAAAATGTCATATAATTAAATAATTAATTTCCCCCAAATTTTAATTGTGTCCTTTACTCACCCTCATGTTGTTACAAACGTATCTTGTTGCATTTTGGGGTTATATACAGATTATCTGGAATCTGAACAAGAGTGAAATTAAGTGTGTGTTTATTAAGAAAAAAAAAACCTTGTGAATGTCCTACAACAAAGCCACTTATTTCATAATCTCAAGGCTGCGCGTGCATTACATTACTGGATTGAATATAATGCGTATAATAATCTAAAAAAACAGAGAAAACAAGAAAGTAAATACTTGTTTTGTATGTAGATAACACGTTTCGACATGGACAATAAGGACAAATGCATGCTCATCTTCAGTGTGTAATAGCAAACATGTTATTAATCATGTAAAATTAGCATGAAACAAACTGAAGAACTGAAAACATTTTATTCATGAGCCGACAGAGCTGGTCCTAAACTATGATGGTTTAACAGTGACGTAGCATAAGCAAATACAAGTGTTATGTACTGTGGTAAAAGTGCAGTAAACTCACCCGTGGATAAACGACTGTCAGTCCACAGCTGCAGAAACGACACTAGTGTAAACCCATCCAGCCTTCCCTCAGTGTGAAGACCAACCCCAAAACCCAGCAATTGCTCCATCTCTTCCTTCTTAAAAGCGAATGAAAGTGAAACAACCGCCTTTTCGTCCTTAAAGCGTGTAAACCCGTAATGTAACATAAAACTGACAAAAATAATAGAGGCACGCGCTCATCTTTCGACGGTTATCGGATTGAGCTCCATAAAAGTGTACCGATGTGATGGACCACATACTGCTGTCGACTCATATTTACGAAATACGAAACTATAAAGTCATTAAACTTTTACACTTTCCCAGGAGACATTTAAGAAATCAAGAGTGTGGACGGTGCATCAGTCTCAGTATTTAGTGTAACAAACGAGCTTGTGGGGGGGGGATTTTTTAAATATCATATATAATAAATAAATATAATCATAATCTATTTTTTTAATATGAGTTTTCTCTGCATTAGTTTACATAATATTCAGTGATAAAATCCAATTTGCAATTAATCACACTAAATTTATATTCAACATTTAGTCAAACGTGTAATCACAATCTGCCGTGCAGCGCAGAACACAAACAGCGACATCTGCCGGATACCGGAGGAAATGCACATTTCACACTTAAAACTGTCTGCAGCCATTAATATGACATTTAGGGGGAAAAAAGCTTTATTATATGAAGGTTTCAAAAATGTAATATTTGACATTAAACAAACGTGGAAGCAAAGATCCATGTAACATGCACAGGCCTTGAAAATTTACCATCCAATCAGAGTGCTATAAAAACATCACAAATGTAGAACCAATGTGAACAATTAATGATGCAAGACGCAAACAGCGACCCCCTTTTTTGTTAAAGGGAGCATAATACAATTTAAATATACTGAAGATGAAGAGTAATAATGCCTTAAACATTTACTTAAGTCCCCACCATGATTTTGAAGTCTCTTCACATTGTAGTACGCAGGTACATACACACAAAACAAAATTCCCAGATTATGTGAATGATTGATACGTATAAGGAATATGTAAATGTTACTTAGAATGTGACTGGGATTTCAATGGGAAAAAAAGTGCAGCACTTGGCTGTAAAGTAAGGCCTTGAATGACAGTGCTAAACCTCCATATCAGATCTTTTGAAGAAGCATGGTCTCTTTTGTCTCCGGACACACATATATCCAAAGGTATTGAGGAGAGGTTGTGTGTTGCACTATTCCTTGAATTCCAAGAACTGCTGAAGCCTTTTTCTATGTTCTGTTGAAATATTCACAGCACTGTAAACAAAGATTAAGTCAAATTAATATGATTGAGGATAAACATGTACCATTGCACTGTCAAAGAGGATGATCATGTATTTTGACATGATACATACAGCAGGTCCCTAAAACAAATTGTTTGTCTGTTGGATCTGTTTATCCTGTATATTACTGCAAATAATGATGGGACTTACTTCAAGTGCTCTCCAAAAGTTGTAGTTATCTTGTAGATGGCTGTCTTCAGCGCAGCCCTCAGTGCAAACCTTAGAGTTTTGTAGGTGGAGTCACCCATTCTGCAGACAGCCCTCGCAGGTTTGCTGGAGGCATGTGGCAGTTTAAAGTGTCTGTCAACAGCCTACAATTAAAAAGTAAGGTTAACCAAATGAATCAGCTTGTCTCCATTTGAATTCATGGATCAGTTTTAACACGTGTGCAAAAATGACTTTTGTTTTACCTCTAGCAAGACTACCAAGCAGCTAAGAATATTGGGTAACGTGGTCTGCACAACTCCAAACTGATCCTCAGAGAAAGAGGCTGCCACCAGATGAGATAGTCCTTGAAAACAGAAGCAACACAAGGCAAAATGCATTTTTAAAACAAATAAACATGTAATATGGCCCTTTCTGAAAAGTTAGTCACTATTTTCTGACCTTGGAGAGCCCATATATGAACCTGGCTGTCAGCAAACAGAGCTTGGGAAGAGGCTTCTGGAAGCTGTACATTAGAAGAAAACATTTTACTAAGAGAAAAACCACGATTCAGACCTTCAGACATTAGGAACCAAGCATATATTTAAAGAAATTACAAATGCATTTATTTCTCGTCTGAAAAAAAATCATAAATATTTTTCACAATTTAAATGTACTTTCGACTCTAAAAACACTATGCGATTTGACACATGCAACAAGATATATATATGAATTTTGAAGCCCTTGACCCGACAACCCAGTGAGAGAGAAACAAGGACCCAGACGTAGTTACAGACCCAGTTTATCTACAGTTCCTCCGATATTATGATTAAATGCACTGCAAAATGAGTAGATAAAGATTGAACTTATTTTGTATAAAGTAAAAACTATAAAGCATAATCTGTATAATTGCACGCTTTTATTTATTTAAACCGTATGTAAACTGGGTCACTATAATCTAACACTACAATCTAAACACACAACATTAGACAGAAATAGAACCAGAAGACAGGGGAGACTAATGATGTTGGTGTTAATTTAAACATGGACAGAATCTAGACACATGCATTAATGATTCCTCTAACTAAAAATCTGTTGTGGGAGCATGCAACATGCAGCTGTAGACATATCCTCCATTCAGCTCATTTCTGCTTAACCTTACCTTGTTAAATAAATACACTATCAGCACCCGCTTTGCCAAAAAGCTTTTAACCTGAGCAGAACAATTGAGAGTATGACAGGAACATGAGTTAACAGGTGTCTCTAGGCCATGTAATGGTATCACAGTGAAACGTGAACTGCCTTTTTTCCCCAGCAACCGAACTGGACACTCAAAAGCTTGTCTGTTTTGGTTCCTATGGATACACATGCTTGGAAACCAAGAAAACACTATGAAATAATAAAGGATTCATTTACGGGTCAGGTGTGATTAGATGAAGATGCTACCTGCTCTCTCCTGTTCTGTAGCCACTGGGCCAGGAAGCTGGGTTTCTCACTGGCTGCAGGAGGACTAGGAACAGTGACAGGGGAGGCAGGAGGACTGCCATTGGATTGTGACTCTGAAAAAAGAACAAAGAAATAAACTAGATTATTTTAAGAGTATGCATTGTTCACAAGTGTGTGCATGCTTCTCACAATGATTTACAAAAAACACAGGAATACCATAAGAATAATCACAAAACCATATCCCAAAAAAAAAATAATTACATATTAAATCATTTTCAAATAAATTTTATAAAAAAAATTTTTTTAAATATATATTTTTTTAATGTAAATGTGATAGTTTTAGTCTTGCTGTCTCACCTGTGGAGGCACTCCACAGTTTGGGCCCTCTCCTCATGATATGGGGGCTTTGTACTGTACCAAACCAGGGAGACCGGGGTTCCTGTTGGCCAACCAGACGTCGAATAGCAGGGGAAGAGAAAGGGCTGTCCACATCCGGGGTGAAAGGAGCCGTCAAAGCACTGTGCACCCCCCCCACCGATGACTTGAAGACTGAACCAGGGGTCCTTAGCGGGACACCAAGTCGAGGGGTCTCAGCAATGTCCTCTGTTCCTGACATCACTACAGATAAAACAGAAAAATAAAATCCCTCTCTCTGGAGCGGTTTGATTCCTCGTGTGTTACCAAGGGCAGTACTGGACTTCATATTTGGGATTAGATTTGCCCTTTGTTGGACGTTATCTAAGCGGCCTTACCTGAGCTGCTTAAAGAAGCTGATCTGGTGTCACTGCTGGCAGACTGAGACTTGACTCGGCCATTAGAGGCAACCGCATCCTGATGAGCCACCAGTCTCTGTGTCAGCTCACTCAGCAAAGACAGACATTCCCTACTGATGGCATTCCAGTTATGAGGGTGACCACCTACATATGCAGGTTGCGTTAGTTTACCAGTCATGAACAGCAATGAGTTTAGAATTCTCTGAAAGCATTTAGTTTGTACCTGGCTGACTCAGACAGAAGACTTCTAGTCTGCGTGAGAGAGAATGTTGTGATAACAGAGCGAGGTCTTGTAGAGCGAAAAACTGTAAAACAGTCAGTTAATCAGTTAAGAAACTTTAACATCTTTAAACAGGTATCAGAATTAGGATCTGTTTTCAGAGTTTCAGCATGTTTTGACAAATTAATTTATGAATTTCCAATTTGTTATGATGACTGGCTAACAACTTATTGCAATACATTTTACAGAGGTTGTACTCACAAAAAGCAATATTTAACAGGTAAGTTTAACAATGTATATTCACTATAGACATTTTCATAACTTAAGATTTTATTCATTTCCATGAGCCTAGAGATCATTTTAAAACAGTCTGCTTCTAGATTTTTTTTTTTTTGAAAAATAAAGAAAAAAACCCTAACCTTCATGACTAAAGTGTTCGTCTCAGCCAAAACTTTGGGAAGACATTGCTCTGCATCCTCAGTAAATGTGGACTGCACTGGAAAACTGTAAGCCTGAAGATGCACAACTAGCCATCAGATTCATTTTCAAAACAGGTACTAGAGTAATGTCATTTGCTTTCATATATCCTACAATAAAACCTTCACATTTAAGTACCTCTGTGACATAAATCCTGAAGAGAAGCACAGTGAGATACCAGGTGAAATACAGGAAAGTGCCACTGATCGTCAGGTGGTAAAGGAGCGAGAAATCTAGAAGTCCAGTCAGTGAATCCAGTGGTTGGAGAGAACTATAGAGTTGCGAAAGCAACATAAGATTTATGAATATGGGTTCATGTTACTTTAATTCACATTAGTTAAACGTTCCAGTTTTGGCCGACTAAAGTTCCCAATCTGACCTGTCTATCTGTAGATGAAGTGTGCTGGAGATCCAGGTTTTAGGAGCATACCCTAAGAAAGTTAAAACAACAATTAAAGAGAATCTAGCAGGAAAACAGATCATTTTTAGAGGATGTATCTCTGATCATCAGTGTAACTTACCAAAAAAGAAATAGAGAGCAGCAAAATTCCTGGCTGAATATAAGGACTGAATAACACTGCACTTGACCACCATTGGCAGACAGCCCTTGAACCGCGGATATTTGTATTGCTTCACAACCAATGTGTGAGGGACAAAAGAGATTAGCATTAATAATTGATTAATGGAAGCATTAATGATTCAGCTATTTCTCATTCAATCCTACTACAAGACATTTTACAAATGGATACTACACAGTGGTAGACTGATACACTGTCATGGCGAATATATTGGTCAGCATTTTGCATTTTTTTAATTATCCATCAGTGGCTGATTAAACTCAAACATGGGACTTTTATTTTGACAGGTCTGTGAACCTAGCGCCCTTCTGAAGGAATTGAACCTTGTGATTCTTGTTTTCCCAATTACTTCTTTCAAACAGACTAATTTTCAAAATATTTCTAATTATTTGACTAAATATTGCAGAAAATAAATATCAATTAAATGCAGCATTTGCTTCATATGTGTTCCATGCCATCTTTAAATTAAACCGTGCAATATCATATATTATATTGGCCACATCTGAATCCGTGTATCATTCGATCATTCGTTTTTTGATTTAATATTGAAAAGTATAAAAATGAGAGAACGGCTCCGTGTTAGATGCATTTCGGGGGAAGGGTCCAGAGAATTTGTTAAATATAACAAAAAAATAAACTGTGTCTGGTCGTTTTCCAAAAAACGAAAAACGAGAATTCAGCTTAAATTTTCGTTTTTCGTTCATGGGTGGAAAAATGAATAAACAGCTTGAATATTCGATTTCTACATGTGGGCGGGAATTAAACGCCCCTTTCTGCTGATTGGTCAGCCGAAGATCAAACCGTGCCGTCATCAGTTCTTCTGCAGTATCACGCAGCAGAATAATAGTCCTCCACTGCTGCAGTTGTACGGATTAATAACCCATTTTATCAATTTCATATTTTTCTCATCAAACCTAATGAATAGCTCGACAACTCGTACCGGGGCAGAGTCTAGACAGGTCTTTCTTCTGTGTAGACCAGCGGTTCTTAAAGTGATAGGGGGTCCAAGAAATAATTTGCTATAGCCTAAAGTATTTCCAGACTGTAAAGTCGCTTTTTTTAATCATGATATATAGGTCTACTGTGATTTATTCCAAAGTGATTTATATGATGCATTTAACGTCAAATAATGTAAATGAAGCCTTTTAAAAGACAAGTATTCCCTGTGGTTCATGTTTGTGGCATGCGCCAGAAAGATGCTCAATGAGACCGAGACGCGCTAAAGCAGCGCATTCTGTTGTTCTCTTTATTTTTCAAAAGGCATGACATTTTGTAGTTATTTTGAACATAACCTTACACAATTAAAATATACATTTTACCATAAAATGTATATAAATGTATATTATAATACCATAATATACATAAAATGACAGAGTATTAAGTTATTTCCCCTCGATGGGGAAAAAAAATCCAAGTGAACATCAATCAGTACTCAATATTAATTTAAACTGCTTTAAATATGACTGCTGCTTATTTCCTGTGCACTTCAATACTGATCTGCGC